CGGTCTACTGGTTCTAGAAGGTGACTCGGATGAAGAAAACTCGTTTTGCTCGAAAACTCTAAAAGCATTCTGGACGTGCACTCTTGCCACAAATAAAAATAACACATGCATGAAAAACTACGAAGGCAACTAAGCTTTCTCCTATGAAAGTAGAATGCGTGAGCATTAAGGCACGTTCACACTCTTGCAACCGAGCACGACCGAGAGAGACCAGACCGGTTTTTAAGCCTCTTGCGATCTCTTAGGACCAGCTCTGCTGCATCGAATCCGGTCCTAAGAAGTCGCAAAAGGCTTAAAAACCGGTCTGGTCTCTCTCAGTCTTACTCGGTCGCAACAGTGTGAACGGGCCTTTGCAGGCAGCATTATGTTGGCGCAACTTGCAATAAAGACAGAAAAGAAAAGTTATGTTGGCGCAACGGACAGCGCGCTAGTTTCACGATCAAGAGGGCCTAGCTTCGAAACCGGGCAGGGGATAGTTTTTTTTTCTCGTGTTCTTTTTTTTTATTTCGTTTATTTATCTTTTTTTTTTGTTTGGTCACGTGACAAGAAAAATCGCATAAACAGCATTTTTTTTTGGCCACGTCACCAGAGATTTGTTTTCTTATTTCTCCTTTCCTTCAGTCTTTCTATCTTTTTTTTCCCTTTTTTTTTGGGTGACGCTTCCTATGGCAAAACTCTTTGCACCTATTTCGCGTTACATTGGCGTTAGCCAAATCATTTTATTTATGGCAGGGAATTCTGTCGTACGTACCTTATGTTACTATTACCAACCCTGGCTTGCAAGTTCTGCTATCCAAAGGACTGGACTATGCCCTTGCTCCACGGTACGTTCCAAAACGTGACTTCATAATTGAAATTGAAGAGAAACTCAGACATGTGCACGATGTCACAGGGGTAAATCTCGCGAGAAGCCGCGTTGTCAGTGTTTTGAACAATGCGAAACCGGCCGGGTCAAATTTAGATAAACAAGAACGCATTGCTCTTAATCAGTTGAAGTCAGACAGCTCCATCATGATTTTAAAGGCCGACAAAGGAAAAGGAACCGTTCTGCTTGATGAGGATGACTACATGAAGAAGATGTATGAAGCTATAAATGACAGTCGCTATTTTGTGAGGCTATCAAGAGATCCCGCTGCTAAGTCCGAAAGAGAGTTAGTTGACCACCTTCGAGAGCTGAAAAAGAAAGGACGCATCAGTGACGACCTATACCGTCGTCTCTTCTCCTTTGACGCCGCGACACCCAAGATGTAAGGACTCCCCAAAATTCACAAACCGGGTTGCCCCCTACGCCCGATGGTATATGTTATTGGTTCATCCACTTACAGCCTTTCCAAATATCTGGTTATGATTCTGAGCCCTCTTATGGGAAACAATGAGTTTAGCGTCCGGAATTCCCGTGACTTTGTTGAACTTATACGCGCTCAGACCCTGCTACCGCACGAGGCTATGGTACCCTTTGATGTGATTTCATTATTTACGAATGTCCCCAACGCCCTGGCAGTTGATGTCGCCCGTGACCGGTTGTTGGCAGACCAGTCGTTGTCCACTCGCACAACCCCGGTTGTTGATGACGTTATACTCCTTTTGCGTTTTTGTCTCAAGCAGTGTAATTTTAGTTTTAATGGGGACATATATCATCAGGTCAGCGGATGCCCTATGGGGAGTCCAGTTTCCGTACCCGTCTCGAATCTCGTCATGGAATATGTTGAGGAAAAGGTAATGTCTGGCATTGATTTCCCCGTGAAATTCTACCGTCGCTATGTCGATGACACTTTTGTAATAGTTAACAGAGAGAACGTAACCGATTTTCACCGCGATTTGAATGGTGTCCACCCCTCAATTCAGTTCACCTGCGAACATAAAACCGATAGTACCTTGCCGTTTTTATATGTACGTGTCCATATAACTAGTGAGTCTTTCTTTAAGATGGAGACATCCGTATAGGGTAAAACATGTGACAGACAAAACTTTCTTCACTACCACTCTCATCACCCTACTCAACACAAAAGCTCAGTTGTAAGATCGTTGCCTTCATCGTTCAGAAACAGTCCCATCAAACTCAACACTTAGCGATCAAGAACTTAGCCATGTGCGGGAGGCTTTGAAGAAACGTAACTACCCCGACCGGTTTATCAATCGCGTTAAGAAACAAATGTCCCGTCGGCGCCCGGATCGAGCCGAGCGAACACGTGACGTCGTGTGGATCCCGTACGTTAAGGGGGTTTCGGAGGCATTGGGACGCGCCCTTAGGCCGTTGGGGGTACGAACTGTATACAAACCCTACAGAACAATTGCCAATGTTATCTCCAAGCCAAAAGACCCGACCCCGTCAGAGGCAGAAAGGGTCGTGATCTACCAGGTGCAGTGCAAGGAATGTGACGCTTCCTACATTGGAGTGACAGAACGAAGAAGAAAGACTAAAAGAACACGCACGGGATGTCGCCAATTCCACGAACGCCACCCGCTTCAGGTCCGAACTCGTCGATCATGCATGAGCGTCAGGACACCAATTTGACTTTGACGAGGCGAGGGATAAAAGGTGGGGACCGAGGAAGCTGCTGGAATCTTGGTTCATCCAGAACGACAAACGCGGAAGTGATTCATCGCTGGTAAACAAGAACCATGGCCCCCTGCCGGACGTGTACACAAACTTTATGCCTAAATAGCCGAACTTTTTTGTGCGACTCTCACTCGCTCTGCGCTCTACTGAAGATGCCTCCCGCATGGGAGGCGAAACGTTTAATTAAATTATTTTTGTTATGTCAAGCCGTTTTTGTTATTACATTTATCATGTCTTCGCCCGGCTTCTGGAGTATTTTTGCGCTCCTAATTTCACCGGCACGACAGTCATGGGAGGCCACTGTAAGCGAGGGGGGACAGAAATTATTGAGGCCTATCGGACAGCGACAAGCCCGAAAAACATAACCACCCTGTCCATTTCGCTCTCAAGAAAGGAGATTATCTTTCTGAGGCCCTCAATGGAAGCCGAACGCTGACAGACTAGGCAAGGCGACAAGGTCACCGGCAGAAGCGGCCTTTCCTTTTATGAATTGTTGATTCCCCTTCGACCTCGCCTTTTGCAAATCCTCCCCACCTGCTTTTGTGTGTTCGTGTGGCTGTCAGCGAGCGCGGCAAATCAAAAGGGTGAAGCGAATCGCGTGACCCAGCGTGACCTCTCTAGTATCTACGTAGGACGCGTAGGACAAAAACGTTTGGACGAAAATTTTTCACGTGACTTTCTCTGTCACGCTGATGGGATCTCTGGGGCTGTCGTTTTCGCCGTTTGCCTAGTTATAGAAATAAGCGGGCCACGTAGGTCCGGTTTTCGAACTGCTCTTCAGTGTTCTGTTGCTTTCGTGCGCTGCAGACGCGGCTGTGTTTTTTCGTCGTAAACGGTCGGAATACGTCCATGCCAATTTTTCGGTAACAGCCATTTTTTGCACCGGAGTTCGTGGAATACTTGTGATGTGTTTGTTGGACACGCTTCGACAAAAACTGCTCTTCGTCGACGACGAGACGTTAGTCCTCGAATCCTCGAATGTGTTTGTGTAGTGCCTGAGTTGGATTATGCATCTATCAAGGATTACATGATATCGCTCTTTTATTAGTAAGTGCACTGCAAGCATGATTCTGATAGTCGTCCTGCTTTCCTCTCAATCTCCGCGGTTTTTCTGTGATGAGTTTTGCTTGGCATGAGGACAGTGTTAATTGTATTTTATAATTTGCTTTTCGTTTTACAGAGAAGTGTGACCTTTGTAAATATGTTGAGAATACACTGTGTGCAATGATAGTTGTTTAATAAACTTCTGGGAGCGATCGAAAAAAATTTGTTTGTCCGTATAAGTGATTGGATATGCAACAAATGACATGCAACGTACACATACTTGCACGACGTTCGGCCAATACGAAGCAGACGCGTCGTAGAGTTTTCGCACAATATTGCGCGAACGCTAGGCCGGGCGAAACAGCTGTACGGCAATACCTGCCGGGTATCAAACGGTGGTGCAAAACTGGACAGTTGAGAGATATTGGAACCGACTTTCGGCCGCACTGGGACGATACTGCAAAGTATTGCCGTGCTGCTTGGGAACGGAGGTGATGACATCTTACCATCGTGTTTCCAACGCTTATTTAATTTATTTCTCTTCTGGGACGCGTGAAAGAGCACTTCTGTGACACACCAGAGATATTCGAAACTTGGGGTGGCCTCTCGGCTTTCCTTGCCACTTTTGGCTCTTATTTGGCACTTCAGTGGGTAGCCAGAGAAAAGCCAAACTTGTTTGTTTTTTGTGTTTTTGTTTCCTCTTAACCTTGTGACTGCATTTATAACGTGCATACAAATGAACCAACGCGATCAAGCCACAAAAGGCAGGATTGGCTCACTTATCGAGCGGAAGCACATCTACGTCATTCCCTCCTCTAACGGCAGATTGACATGTGGAAACCAAATTGCGATATACGTCCGAAGTATCTGTACCACATGACCAGCACGCCACCAATTTCCGCGATCCGCGCCTCATCCACGACCGCGCGAAACAACCAAGCGCCTTTTCACTCGCAGAATTTTGACGGAAGATTGACTCAAAAAGCGTTTCGCCTGGCAACCCCACAACGTTTTTTTTTTTTTTTTTTTTTTTTTTACAAGGGAGGCAAACATTTCGGGTCATGTTGATTTTCGCCAGTTTACTGGCGAAGATCAACAAGAAGCTGCAGGAACTTTGCTTGGCTGACGCGTCCCGTGTTCCTGTTTGATTTTACGACTCGCGAGCATTCGGCCAAATAAATAAATAAGAAATACATTTAACCAACTCCGTATGTACGACACGAAAGCTGAGTAAGCTGAGATTTCAAAAATTTCTTGAAATATATTTTAATGAATATTCATATATACATATATAGAGATGTCGGTTGGCACTGTAGATGAAGCACTCCCTGTTTGATTGTCTCTATCTGCACATATACTAAAAGTATGTGGTTAAAATAAATGCCGAATATTGCAGCCAGAAGGCAGGAAGCTTCGAAGCATCTAAGGACGGCGCGGAAGGTGCTCCTCAGAAGCTGGAATTCGTTCTTGGGCCTGACATCTTACACGAAATAGAAAATGCAAAATCGTCCCATGCAAGGTCAGTATATAAGCTGCAAGACCAATCGAATATCACAATGCGGAAAGCAATGTATTTATAGGCGGTCTATCTTTCGACGTGCCTTGGATCCTGCAGAAATACTTACTAAAATGTGACGAATAAAACAAAAACTATTTTAAATATACATTTGCCTTTTGAGCATTGTAACTTCGTTCTCGCAACAACACAATAGGGGCATTAATACGGATTTTTTATATCTCAAACATCCTGAAGATCCCACAACTGATGCATACAGTGGCAACAATGCCGTTACGCTGTAAAACAAAATTTAAACATCGGCTTCTGCGCATAGAAAGCTCTAACCTTCACCAAATGTGCAGCTGGATTTTGGATTTTACAATTTGAACTTCTTCATCTATTGGTTCTCGTTTTCTAAAAAAAAAAATTAGACTAATCAACTTGACAGTCAAAGGAATAAATTGTTGTTTGCTATTTCTCGATAAAGGAAGCGAGCAGACGACGCCCTTTGTTGTCTGCTAGGTGCGGCTTTCAGGAGATGCCGCCGAAATTACATTGATAGTAAATTTTTGTCTGAGATCACATCCGCCATTCATTGGGGAAGTGTTTTAGTGTCATTTCTAACAGAAAGCGAGCTACGTCTTGAAGTTTCCCAAGTTAAAATGCACTACCCAATTGCATAGTTCCTGAAGGGATGCCTTGTATAAATACAGGCGCTAATTTGTTTCGTCTGTTTTACAAGGCACGAAAAACTGGCCATCCTGTGGTGTAGCTATATACGCAATACTACTTGTCGTAATTTATTGCGTGCAGAGAGGAGTCTGCAAGTAGGTCGTAGATATACATAGAGTTCACTGACATCACTTGGCCAGATACTAGGAAGGAAGGGTCGCGAGCTTCCGCTGGATTAACGATGCACTTCTGGTCATTAGAAAAAAGGGTGTACTGATGTCACGTGCACGCCATGTATATGGCTAGGTCAAGAAAAGACCTCCTCTGGTTTTTGTCATTATGTAGTGAAATTTAATTTTTATATTTCTTACGCTGCCTCGTCCTGATTTCACCTCTCTACATTTGTCAGAGATGGGGGCCATATTGTTCTTCAGCAGCAGTTCGTGTAAAATGCTACTTTAAAAGAAAGAGAGAACGAAGGGTACGAGCTGAGGATACTGATTTAGGATGCTGTAATTAATTATAATGACGGTTAACACCACAGATCTACCGGCGGTACTGAAAGGCTCTTCTATCAATTTTCCAACTATGGAAAAAAGTTCATCCAGTCGTGCAACATGAGTCCGGACGGCTACACGCAGATGGCCATTCAACTGGCGGCCTTCAGGTAAGAACACAATGCCTTGCGCGCGTAATGCAAAAACAGTGAGTGCGCAGGCGAGCTGGCGGAAGTTTATTATGATGTAGAATACCCGAGACTATTTAAAAACTGAAAAACTTGGTCGAAGAAAAAGGACAGGGAAAGAGAACGTCTCAGTTGAGACGTTCTTTTCCCCTGTCATGTTTCTTCGACCAAGTTTCCCAGCTTTTACCACGGTCTCGCGTATTCAACATCATGCGCGTAATGCGTTTTGCTCTGAAATTTTGGTTACTCATTCACGGCGTTAATTTTTTTTTTTCGAATTTTTTTTTTTTTAATTTAACGTTTTTTTCAAATAAATTATTTTTTTTGTGTCGAGGTAATGATGTGTGTTTATCGATAATTGTGTTGAAGAACGGGAGCATATGATTCCCTAACTACTAGAGAACGGGCTTGGGACCCGAATATGTCCCGCTACCGATAACATAAGAGAACACGTTAAGGGCTACCGTTGCGAAAAATAGGAACAGCCTCAGTTTGGGGCCGCGTTCCGCCTTAACATTGAATGCAACAGTAGGTAGTCATTTCTTCCTGCGAAGTTTGGGAATCCACGATTCGTGTGCTAGCCCTTAATGTTCGCGAGCCCTTAATTTATTCGAATTTTGCGAATTGAAAAACTCGCGGACTTTAGGAGCAAGCGAAAATTCCGGTCTTTAAGAGTTTCTGTACAGGCATCTGGAAATGGCGAAACTTATTGGCCGCGAATATGTCCTCTTTGACTGATCCGCGAAAAATAGTGGCCGCTGAAGTAAAGGGTTTTTCAGTGTCTGTTTTCGGAAACACATCAAGGATCTGGTTTCTTCGGAATCATACCCTTTATCTCGTTTCCTTCTCATATCGCTAGCGGGACGTGTTCGGATTACATGCATCTTCTCGAGGGATTGGGAAATCTCATGCTCGAGTTCCGCTTTTTTCAGCATAATCCTTGATAAGCACCGATCGTTTTTTCTACGCCGGAAAATTAAACTAGAGAACAACAAATCTAGATAAAAATAAACAATAATAAAAAAGTGATTCATAACTAGAATGAAGAGGTACCCCGAAAATACGGCACCTTACCTATAGGTGCTGGCTGACAAACTTTCGTTTGAATACAACCGGGCGCACTAAAACTACTTTTATGCCGTTTGTGACTGTTTATAACAGGCCTCGCTGCATCGAAATCGGTTGCAGTGCTACCACTGCGATGCCGCAGCCTCTGATCAAGAGGTGGCAGTTTCGTTTGCTTTTTCACAAAACGTTGTACCTCTCGACATTTCAAATACATTATATATTATGTTTTTGAATGATAAAAAAAAAACTACAAATGGGTAAAGATAAAGTGGTATTTTACTCATTGTTAAAACATTTTGCATACATCGCTACATCACCAACCATCCGAAAGCAAGAAAAAATGTGAAGCCCAAAGAGATGTCCAACATTCAGAATTGCCTACTCGTTGTGACGTTTGTGACCTTACGCCTTGGAGTTCTGGCCTTGTCTACGTGTTTCCTTCCAGGTTAAGGAATTCTCCGGTGATATAAGAAACTTTCTACAGTTTTGCGCTCATCACGTATAAAGCTTCTAAATAATGTTAGATATGATATTCATTTGATTACGAAACGCCCCAATATTCGTTCAATGAATAATCGACATGAATATGAAACGTGACGCCAAATTTAACAAGAATGCATGGCTGGTCTTGTCGTGACGCCACATGAGTCATGGTAACGTCAGAGGCGGAGGCGCTGAATTGTTTGCGGCTTTAACATGGTCAATCTTCCGTACAAAGATCGCCGTCGAACAATTCATTTATTTTTATTTTTATTTATTTATTACATACTGCAGGCCTTTTGATAGGCCCTTGCAGGTGTGGGGTACAAAATACTTGTAAGCCATCATTATACCAGACTTTCATAATGTTTAGTAATTAAAACTCTCATACCTAACAATCAAAGGGGAAAAAAGTTTGTACAACATATGTTCAAAAAGGTTCACAACACAAGATCACAATGGCAATATCTAAAAAGGATGATCATCAAGTGCTTTTTTAAAATTAGGGGTTATGCATATATTGTAAGGGAGGGCGTTCCAATCTGATATGGGGCGTGGAAAATATGAAAACTTAAAAATATTGGTTCGAGCAAATATTGGTTGAAGAGAAAACTGATGGTGGTTCCTAGTGGCTCTGGAAGATAAGGAGGTTATATATAAACTTGAGTCGACGCACAGCTTGTTGTTATAAAGTAGATGCAAGAACTTCAGTCTTGCAATTTTCTACGCTGTTCCAGGGACGTGATATTGTTTGCCGCTATTAAGGAGGATGGGGAGTCAAGTCTCTTGTACATTCCAAAAATAAAACGAACTGCTCTCCTTTGGACCATCTCAAGTTTTGATACATCTTTTTTCGTGTTTGGATCCCAAATTATATTAGCATATTCTATTTTTGACCTTACCAAGGAGTTATAAGTTTGGAGTTTAATGGAGGTTGAAGCATTTTTTAACTTGCGTCGTAAGAAATCTAATTTTCGAAAAGCCGAGCTTTCGAAACTTTTATCGACACAGTAAATCTTGTATTTGTAGGAACAAAGGTATTTTACCGAGACCGTAATCAAGAGCTGTCATGGCTCCCTTTGTATGATGTTACGTCAGAGCCTTCCGCTGTTGCCAGAGCAAACGCTGTGTGTTTTGCGAGTGCAATCTCAGCAGTTGTGTTCTGTTTAAAATTAAATTACTTGCGCGGCGGAGAATTAAAAACTTGGACAACATGCGGATAATCTTACCAAAAAACACTTTAACTTAATTGTTTTCTGAAAGACATCTTACCGGAGAGTGCCTTTGATTCCAGCCTACAACCCGACGATGTGTTTGCGTTTGTCTTGCAAGTAGCTTGAAATGCGCCAGTGCTGGAGGTCTGTATTTCGAGCGGTCCTTGGAAGGAAATGGCGGAAGAGCTCCCGGTAGTGGCACGTGTCATGCGCGTTTCCTCAACAATTGTTGGCGGTATTTTTAACAAACGCCTTTGTGAAGGCGCTTTAGTCCAATTGCAGCCAACGCTATGAGCTGATTGGTTCAATTAGGCAGCGTCAAAGGCGCACCATCTTTGCGTTCGTCATGTTTCTGTGCGCGTTCTATCGTCGCTGAACCATTGGTAGACAAAAAGGGCTGAATGATTTGCGCTTTTCACTTCGCTTGATTGGTTCAGTTAGCTTGTAGCATGAGCTACGTCAAAACTCACGCTGAGACAAAGGATAGCTGGTGTTTGGCTGCGGCGTCACAAAAGAGCCGACGCCGTCGAGCGCGGTTGTGACGCGCGTTCAATGGGCCAATAAAGGCGCCACGAGGTTCCCTCTATGTTTCCCGCCGGTTTAACGTAAAACGGTATTAAGGTGAAAGCCTTCTATGTCCTACTACGAGAAAAGGCGGCGCCGCTAGGCCCGAATGATGGTCACACCATTACCTGATCAAGCACTTCTCGCTAAAGTTCAAAGCGGGCGGGCCTCAGAAATAAAACACAACGAAAAGCACAGCAGCGCAGAAGCTTCGTCATTGCAGCCGGAGGGGGTGCCGCTCCTGCGCAGTGGGGTTGCGTTATGTCATCGCCAGAGCGCCGGATGAAAAAAAGAAGACGGGGCGCGCTGCTTGCAGAAATGCGGTGCTTGTAGGAAAGCTTTCGCAAGCAGTTTTAAATGTCGCTCTGTAATATTTTGGCTAGGAGTTGGGCATTTCCT